TACAATAAAACATTCCATCTGCATTTCTGTGTTGCAATCCTGGGCAATTTACTATAACAAAGTCATATTTTTGCACTGTTGTTGTTGCAAAACATACTATCATTCTTTCCACAATTTTATAATTCAGTAACCATTTAAGAGTAGCATGGTCCACCCAGATGGTGAACCTCCTATCATACAATTACTGGTGATAGTTTTATGATGACTACAGCTGTAAGCAATCCTTTCTTCTCTGTGCAGTATCTGCATTCAGGAGCCAAGAGCACACATCTAGTGTATGTGATTGCACATTCTACTCTATCCTGCAACTGTAATAACACTGCCCCGACTCCATTATAGGAATTTGCTGTCTTATCGTGGATATACCAAAGCTAAAGCATCCACTAGTTTTAAGGAAAGCAGAAAATGGTCCTGCTATCTTGGAGAAGTTGGCCCAAATCTGTTAGTAAGATGACCCAAAAACCGAGAAAAATGCAGATGTATTGCTTGGTTGAGGATAGTCTCTTACCACTGCTATCTCAGTAGTCTCTGTAGAGGCTCCATCTCTACCTTCAATGGCACATAAGCACACATCTTCCTGGTTTCAGTTTCAAGCCTGCTTTATTTATCAAATGGAATACTATTCTTATTTTTTCAGCCAGAGACTCAATGTGCAACCAAACACCAAAACGTTTCATCATAGACTAGACATCTCTCACATTACAGCCCTTTCAGTATAAGTTCCAATAACATTTCGAAAATCGCAGACATATTACACAGGTCGAATAGTATGATGCGGAACTCATACAAGCCATTTCTTGTGTTAAAAGAAGTCTTACAGTTGCTCTCATTATCAGCTTCACCTATCACGATCCAGATGCTAGATCTAAAATGGTGAGGCAATAGGAACCTTCCAATGCATCTATACATTCATTTGTTCACGGTAAGGGAAAAGTGTCAATATGAATTAGTATGTTCACTTGTATAAAATCAACACAGAATCTTAGCATACTTTCCTTCTTCCTGATAATCATTACTGGAAACAGCCAAGCACTCTCTGAGGTTTTATGACTCCATCCTTCAAAATTCATTGTATTTCAGCCCTGGTCAAGTCCCTAGTGCTTCAAGAAAACCAGTATGATAGTTGCTTTATCAGACATGCACTAGCTTTATCTATGTTGTTGCAAGGCAATGTTGTTCATCCCAATTGGTCATCTGATCCCAAATATGCAATGACATATTCCACCAGCAAGTCACTGAGTTACTTTCACTGCATTGAGTCCAGGTTATGTGCACAATACTAATCCAACAATCTCAGATGTGTTAGTAGCTGTTACTTGTTTTTGGACATGGTACAATGGATGCAGCCCTAGCATTACCACTAGCCTTGGTTACTTCCACTTTCTTTACTGCACCTATGGTCATTCCACCATAAAGCTGGATAGCTGACTACCCATAGCTACAAAACAACACTGGGACTTCATCCCTCATTGAACAGATAACTGCCAAAGCTAATACTACCTGCTTTCTGGACAGGAAACAGTTCATTTAACGTGTGGCTTCTATAACTGACATGGTACTGATGCACTAGACTTCATCAACAGTAAACCATGGAACACCATTTAGGGAGTACTATTATTCCCTCTGCTACATAAACTCGTGTAATCCATTTTCTTGGACTTGTTGATTTGGCTAACACCAGATAACTCTCCAGTGGACTTTCAGTAAACCAGTTGCACTTGTGCAACTGACTGATAACATTCACAGTACATCCATCCCAAAGTTAAAGGCTATTACTTTCATTTTGTGAGTGATGTTTTCTACACACATCCAGAGTAGTCTTTCCACTTATGTTTAGTCTGTCATTATTCATAAGAACGAAGCCTGCATCCATCAGACTGAATACACAGTTGACAACACTAGCTGCTACAGTGTCAACCAGGGACTCAATCTCTCACTCTTGTATCCTCATAGGTACAAGTCAAGCTCTATCCAGCTCTGAGAGAGCTGGGCTGATCACTAAACCCTTTATTTGAACTGTATGATGTGCTCCCCAAGTTGGTGGCCAGGCCAGACTTGGACTAGATTAGTTTTCTGAGCTGTAGTGGCAGTATTTATCACTTACAGTTGGTTCTCCTGGACCCCTTTAACCATGATTACTTGTTGCTTGACAATATACAGGCATTGATGGCTCTACAGCATCTGCTGAACCATCATTTGTAAACAATAATCTTGCTGTCTTTGCTTGGCAAAGAATGGCCAGTTCACTTGCCAGTGACCTATCATACCATAAAAAAAGCAGATGCTTTACTCCTTCTATAGCCCCACCCCCTCACTGGAAATCAATGTGGTTACATTGCAGTGCTAAGATGTGTTGGCAGCTGGTTAACTCTTTGCATGGTTCAGGCTCAATGTTGTAGAGGTATCTGAGTAAGACAGTCCATCTAAGGTGTAGCCACAGCAACTGTCACCAAGGGCTTCTTTCTCTCCAGCAACTGTCTCCCAATTAATTACCAATTTGTATTTGGTCACAACGAAAATTGCTTCAGTGAAAGTAAAGTTATCTTTCACATGATGTTTCACTGGAAAGTCCCTCAATGAACATATCCACAACTATGTGTTCATAATCTGCTGAAGCCATTGCAGGATAAGCTATATTGTACATACAATGCAGGTGATCCATGTAAATGGCCAGGCTTTTAGTGGCATTTCTCTTCCAAGCCTTAAATTTGACCCAGTGGATTGCTTGATTCTCAACTTGGTTGAATTGGCAACATAACTCAGGCTCACAACTACCCCATGGTTTCATGTTCTTTTCCCATTGGTCCTTGTTGTCTCAAATACTGGGAAAACAGCACAGACATGTGGAGTTCATCCACCAGTGGCACACCCAGTCCTTCTTGTATGGTCTTGATCAGAGCTGAGGTCGTACTACTCTGGCTGATGATGAACAGAGAGTCCTAAAGAAACCATCCAATAACTTGCCAAGAGCCATTCCATCTCGGTAACCATCAGTTATCTGTGTTTCCTTTGCAGAGATCTATCCTCAGGGAAATCTGCAATTCTGCATACACCAGACATCAGCTGATTTTCTTCAGTCTGCAATCACAAAGAGACAAGGACCAGAAAAGGACCAGAGACATCACTAGGTACTTAAAAAATTAGGGACTCAGGTGCGGGAATTTTTCGGCATTTCAGTATGATATTGATCATGGTTTTTTATTCTCATTTTTAAGACATTTGAAGTCAAATAGAACCGAGGCATAGGTCCCATGAGCCAGTGCCTAACAATGCCTCTGGAGAGGGCTTCTTCTTGACTCAACACCTCTCTTATACAACCATCTCTCTCCAGTGGCAAACTTGCTCTCAGTCATGAGTACTTTTTACCTGCAGATATTGACATTCTTTAAGTAACAAGCATTTCTTCATACTTTTTTGACTCAAGAGGTTAAATAATTGAAATAAACACGTTAGGAAAATCAGAAAACTCTGAAATAATATCCTGTGGTCACTGCACCAAAATTTTTCCTTCCTTTGCCTATCTATGGTATTCTCAGGTTAAACTGATTTCTGCAAAGAGTATTAAGTAGGTCCACTTTATAACAGGAGTATCTCAAAATAAATTTTAAAGCAACTGAATTTCACGAAACTACTGAGTTTAAGCAAAAAATCATAAGACTGAACATGATGTGTAATACAAAATGAAAACAATATTTATTTAACACCAAGACAAGAATACAGTATGTGTACTTGCTCTCACTGGACTCATGAACTGGCTTTCTTCTCTCATATTTTTTCCATCAACCAGCTTACTTTAGATCCTGTGTATTACTGTTTAAATCAAATGTTTCTTGCTTAATGGGAAATGCTGGATTTACCCATAGTGACTAGAGCTACCACATGACTGATCATTCTCCTTCAACATATGGGAGGCCATAACATTTGTCCCACCAGTGAAGGAAATTGCTGTCATCTACATTTTTATACAACATACAGTGTTACAGCAATACCACCTGCTGGCAGAGCAGGCAAACTCAACATAACTGTTTTGCAGACCACATGTTTTCCAAAAACTGTTATCAGAATAAACAACAATTCTTGGAAATTTCTACATTAATCAAAAAAAAAGTTTGAAAATGCATGGTATGTTGCATATCACAAAGGTATACAAACTGTTGTTATTTATCTGTAATTGTAGAGCTTTTGAAAACATTTTCTTTAACACATGCATGTTTTTTTTAACACAACCCTATCTTTCAATGTTCATTTCTCTAAAAATCTGATGGTACATTTTTTACAGATTTTAAGAACATATAATGCAGTTTTCCAAATTTCAGCAATTTTGAAACAGAAATTTGCAACTAACGACAAATGAGATCCACCACAATAAAGATTATATTAACTGTATAACAGAAATATAGTAATATACATAAATATTAGAAACCAGTGAAAGCAAGCTTGTTCTTAATTGGAATTGTCTCTTTCTACAGTGTTAATAACACCTATTAATAATGCAATTCATGTTGATATCATGAAATATTTGAATATTTTACTTAACTAATAAATGGATGATGTGTTATATTTATTTTTGTTAAAATCGTGAATGATGATGGCATTGCTAACTGATGATTACAATGGTCTGAATGACTGAAAAATGTCTCTTCTAGATCACACCCCAGTTTTTTAATGGTAAGTCCGAGGGCTTACAACATTAAAAATTGGGTTTCAAGACCCAAAATTGCTACAGCACAGATATTCTACTGTGTAGCTTTGTGATTAATAATAAACAAACAAACTCTTCTAGATCTTTCATTATCGTGGGAAAGTATGATATTCAGGAAGCTGACTGGGAATTTTAATGTTTGTTTGTTAGTTTTTAGGACAAAGCATTGACTTGGCACTTCTATAACTACTATAATCAGAAATGTACAGGTCTTAGAAATTACAAAACTATAAGATCAGAAATTAGTAAATTTTAATTACCAAGAAAAAATATGCAACAAAAACACTGCAAAAATTACCTGCAAATGCTTCATCTGTGGGAGCAAACAAAGTGAAAGCTCCACGAGATTGCAGGTTTTCTATCAAGCCAGTTTGGTTTAGAAGCTCAAGAAAGGTGTTCAGGCCCAAATTCTCTGCTACAGTTGTGAGAGGTAGAACTAAAAAAAATTCAAATGAGAAAAAAATCCTGACAAAAGTTTGATAGGCTATACAATTCATAAGTAACCCAAGAAAGATGGACCTTAAATAATTTTACAAAAATAAGGAGTAAATTAGTAAAAGAAATCTTGACATTATGCAAAACAATGGCCATGCTATCATTCATAGGAACAATGTCTTACTTTTTTCAATGCTATCAAAGTTGCTTCATTTTATATTTCACCAACTGTATGTTACATATATCTGTTGAAAACACCAATTAGTACCTTAGAAAAAAAACATATAATAGGGTCATACTGATTATTGATGGCACTCTGTGAGAGATATAAATTCTGTGCCCCTCTTCAAAAGTATCCTTGCCTTCAAAGATACAAAGTTGCACCCCCATGTGCAGATACACCACTCACATTACCCTTGATATGGCCCTGTTCCTAAACTTCCTGAAGCTTTCTTTGCCTTAAATATACAAGTTATTCTTTAGTCTTGTAACTGTGCCTTTGAGTTTACTCTGTACAGTAGCAACACATTTTTATACTTCTTATTTTCCATTATACTGTTCTGCTTCATGTAACAATATTTTAATTGGTTATACCTTTCATGATGATAATGTACTGTGATTTTAATTATAATGATATTAGAGTAACATGTTTTATTTTTCTACATGTTATCTTCCATATTTTTCAGTTGATGTGTGGCCCTTTAAATTCTTGTTCTTATGAGTGACATTGTTAGTACTTTTATACCATACTTAGTGTGTACCCTTTTATGCTTTACTGACTTATTGCTTCTTATATAGCACAATAACTGTCTTTCTTAGCTAAGTTCAGAAATAACTCACCTTTCTGTGGTAGCAACACTTTGTCTACAGAATATACAACACCATTGCCTGTAAACTGCCCATCATCTAGAAGCCTAGCACCTCCCACGATTGTCTCAGATATATTGCAAGTGATCTCCAGTGGCTTGTGATTTATAGAATGGATAGTGTGAGTACCTGTTGCAGCTGTATGACACCAGATGTCATCAATTATGTGGTATTTGAGAAGATCTGGAAATAATTTTCAAAATTACCTTAAATTAACTATAAGTCTTTTAATAAAATTAAAATTTGTATTAATATTTTATAGAGTAATTATAACAATTCAAAGTACTTACTTTAAAAATATTTGATTATAGATTCCTCTATTTAAGGATAAATAATATTTTCCACAACGAGTGTTTGACCTCCAGACTAGCAACTTAGTCATTCTCAGGTCCTTATCAATTAAGTAAATTAAGTTAAGAATTGAAGTTTTGGATTCTAATGCAGCTAGTCTGTTTTATTTTGAATCTGCTACTCAGTTATGAATCTGTAAGTATTGGAAGTACTTTCATGTCAGAAAACAAAGTTTGGCAGTGAAAATCTTTGGAACTGCAAAGGGGATTAGATATATAAAAAAATTGCAGTTGAAAGTGGTCAAAAACACATTTACAATAAAACTCAATTTAAATAACTTGAAAAATATGCATTATGTGAATTCCTTAAAAAAGTAGCTGCAACTCACTGCTATGCAATATTTTATGTTAATGTTAACTATTTTTAATTATAGGAATGTCTCTTATGATTCAAATAAAGTTTAAGTGATGATGTATTACATTCAATCAGGATTTCCTTTAACTATATGCATCCTTACCATATATAATTATACATGTACAAGTATAGCAATGTAAATGCTATTTATGCTTCTCAAAACTTTGTAGAGCTTTGATAATTTTAATAATGTTACATATTCTGAAAACATTAGAAGTTTTTTTAAAAATAATTTTTAGGGGCAGTGTATACAAGTGTATATAGTGTATTCGATGACGAGAAACCCACTTTGAGACTTATAATGGCTGGAGATGGCTTGAATGGGTAATGAAGAAAAACTTTAATATAAGTTTAACATAACAGCAAATGTACAACCTGATGATGACAAAACCTTGTTGAAACGTTGTACAT